GCGGGCCCGTGCAAGCGCTGTTTGCGGGGCCGCAAGACGGCGTCCGAATTTGTTTTTGTTTGTGCATGACAAGCCCCAGGGTTATAGGATAAAAAAAAACGCCCCCACCGTATGAGGAGCAAGCGCCAGGAGCGTGCACATCAGCAGCGGCTGGGGCCGATGGTGCCGAGGGTGCCGCTGCAGCCTCCTCGCCGCACAGCTCGCCGATACTTGGCCTCGTCCTGCGGATGTGCGCAGGGCCTGCTCCGGCGGCTGCTGGCGTGACCGTCGGGCCTTGTCTTCGACGGCTTCGGCCTGGGGCTGGCGGTGGCCGGACATGGCCGTCGACGAACCTGCTGCGATGTCCCTCGCGAGGCCCCCCGCTCGAGCCACGAGCCCCAAGTTCGGGCCCTGTCTTCGACGGCTTCGGCCCCAGGGCTAGCGGTGGGCCTGATCGAGGCGAGGCGAAAATGGAACGCGAAAGTGGGAGGCGGAAGTGGGAGGCGAAAGTGGGAAGCGAACGCGAATCGCCCCCCATTTTCGCGTTTTTTATCTTGAACTTGTCCACCCACCTTGCCGTCGAGCTATTTTTCGCGGCGTTGGCGCTCCCATCCACGCCGCCGGGGCGGTGCCTCCCCCCGCGCCAGCCGAGGGGCCCGCGCGAAGGTGCTCCACTGTGTCAACCTAGACTCCTGGCCCCCCTGCCCTTTCATGCCGTCGAGAGGATGAGCCAGAGGGTGTTGGCGTCTTGTTCACAGTCACGCCGTCAGCAGGTCTACCTGTGCCATCGCCTGGGCTGCTTCTTCACGACGCGCAGCGAGGTCCCACAGGATGCCTAGATCCCACCGCTCATCATGTGGCAGATGTGCACTGCGAAGACGGCACTGCACATTGACATGTGCACTCCTCACCAGCGGGCTTACAGCCACTGGGCGGACGCTTGCGCGCATGACGCTCGCACCGAAGTCATTGAGCATGATAAGGCGATCTTTGACAAGTGGTGCATTGATCAGATAGCGGAACAGGGGCCAGACAGTTCTGATGATTCAGGTGGGCACGTGGAAGGGCAGGCGGACGCCGATAAGGTTCAGGACGAACATTATCATCAGGAGTTCCTGAGGGTTCAGGGGGCTGGCATGAACGCCGGGGAGGCAGGAGACTCGCGGCAGCGCCGCGAGCCCCTCGCCCCGGGCCCCTGACGGCCCGAATCCCGACTAGGGGCGATCCACCTGTCGAGGTGTCCGAGGACCTGCCTGTCGAGGTGCCCGAGGACACGCCTGTCGAGGCACCCGAGGATCCGCCTGTCGTGGCGCCCGAGACCGAAGGCACCAACGAGGAACGGCCCGTTGGCACCAGGGCTCGCATCTCGCTGCATGCGGCCGCGCGCGCCTCAGAGGAGGAGGGGTCGTATTCCGACGAGGGCAGCGAGTCAGAAGAAGGCGGCGTGTCCGAAGAAGTCAGCGAGTCAGAGAAAGGCAGCGAATCATGACCCCAAGAAGAGGGCGCCGAAGAAAAGCAGGGACCAGAAAGGGCGGCTGAAGGGGGCCGCGCTGGGTTTTCTGGCACGTCCCTAGTCCCATCCACGCAGCGCCGAGGGCCTGAGGCCGAGCCCGTCTTCCCTGCGCCAGTTCCTGATCCCCCGACAACCGTCGCCGACCAGCTCCCGCAAGCTGTTGAGCCGAACTACTTTCGGCCCGCGGGCGTGCCGACTCCGCCGCGGGACGCCCAAGTGTCCGAGGAAGAGCGGCAGCTGCTGTTGGGTGAGACGGGGGGGCGCGGCCTCTGGAGCACGTCGAGCACGGCCCTCGCGGCCCGCTCTCGCCCGCGCCAGAGAGCGAGGGCAGAGGCCCCGAGTTTCAACGCCATAGAGTCCCGCGAGCCCCCCGGCGAGCCCCGCGCATTCGCGTCAATGCATCTGCGCGAGAAGCGAGACGCATGCGCTCGGCGCAGTGACGTCGGGGGCGAAGAAGCCGAACGGACGGCACCGCCCATGGTCAACCTGGCGAGGCACAGCGCGGCACCTGCACGCAGCTCGGGCGGTCGGGGGGAAGCGAAGGTCATCGTAGACGCGATCGGGAGAGAGGGCTACGACAGGGGGCGGGTGCGCTTCCTGCGCGGATCAGCATTGCCGCCCGTCGACACCGCGCAGGACCCGGGCATCGAAATGGTAGGAGATGAAGACTGCGCCGTCGCCGAGCCACCCACCTGGGGCCAGAGCTTCGGGCGCGCGGCCGCCCTGCGGCCGCGCCGCTGGCGGCCGCGAGGTCGAGGCGCCCGCGGTCGAGCCGTTGCCGGCCCGCGCCTGCAGAGGCCGCCCGCTGCGAGCGCTGTCGCCCGAACGGATCTGCGTCGAGCACGCGCCGCCCGCCAGGCATCGGCGCGCGGCCGTCGCTGCAACGCTCGACGTAGTTTCGGCGATCCATGCTTGTGTTTGGTAGGTTGCGGGCCCGGAGAAGGACCTCAACGGGGCCTCAGTGCAAGTGCCTCGACGCCCTTCCCACTCAGAGAGCCAACTGCCCGGCTTGCGACAACTGCGTCGTCGACGCCGGGCAGGAAGGCGCCAACGGAGCAGTCGAACTGGCGCGTCGAGGCCTTGGGATTAAGCGCGGAGAGGGCCCCGAGAATTCCCGGCGTCGGCTTAGGCCGAATGGGTGGTCGAGGGACTATGGCGCACAGGGTCTCGCGCAAGCGTCTTCAACCTGGAGGGCCCTCGCGCGATGTCAGGTCCGTGCATCGCGACGCTCGCGCCCCCAATCTTCGGCACGGCTGCGTTCTGGATTCTCCCAGACGGCTCCATTGCCGCGGAGTTCCGACCAGACTGGATTGACGCGGGCCAGATCTTGCGAGCCATCTATGCCAGCACCGTGGCCCCGACAGTCTCGTGGGCCCCTGTCTATGACTGGCGGTTCCACGGCGTGAAGATTGACCCGAAGCCGGGGCCAGGCTGCGTCGACTGCACGAGACGACATTAGCTTTTCCATCGAATCGGTGAACACGACGACGACGCCCTGGCGCCGGCGGGGTTCAGGCCGAGCCGCGGACAGAGGGCTCAAGAAATCGCGGGGCAAGTGGGCCCAGCCAGATGTCCATGGAGCGGCGCCCTGTCGCAGCCAGGCCCTGCAGGGCAAGACGGCGCACCGGAACAACCTGATGGCAGCCTTCGCTTAGCGCCCGACGTCTCCAGAAGACGTGGCGCCGACCGATCAGAATGCCCGCCGACAGAAGAAGTCATAATAGTTGGGGAGCCGCTGGATTGAGTTCCAGGCGCGCGCCGGCGCTCCAGCCACAGGCCCGGGCGCAGGCGCCCGCGCCAGGGCTTGGCGGCCGTGCATCAGCAGGGGGCCGGCTCTTCAACGGCAAGACTACTCTTTCCTCGTCGTTCGATTGGGGCCACTCGCGCCCCGAGGATATCGAGGCAGATGAACCGTCGGATGGCTGGGGGCAGTGGCTCGCTGAAGTCTGTCGCCCTGAGTTGCATTCGACTCTTGCAGGTTTCCAGGCGGAGATGGAGGGCGAGATGGAACAGCATTGGTGGCCCCTGGAAGAGGTTGACATTGAGGCGGATGATGAAGGAGACCCGACATCTGCCGACTGCGTCGGCAGTGCCGGGGTCTCCAGCGCCCCAGACAAGACGGGCGGGAAGCGACCGCCGTCGACCCGGCCCCGGGGCCGCCCGCCGATGGCGCGCGCGCCCATTGGAGGCAAAGGACAAGGAGGCTCCAGAGATGAAGGAGCGAAGGGTCGTGGAAGTCAGGGGCCGCAGAATCAGCAGGCTGTCGTGCGTCGCCGAGATGCCGCGCCGACGCTCTGGGAGCTCCATCCCAGACCTTCGCCGTCAACGCCTGCGAGTTCTGCCCCACGCCCCGCGGCGAGGAGGTGCCAGCGCGCGGCCGTCCGAGAGAGGGCGGCGGAGGAGGTAGAGGATCCGCCCCCTCCGCGGCAGAGGGTCTCGCAGAGCCGCCGGTCGTCGAGGAGCTCGGCGCGGGGCCCAGGCAATTGGCGCAGCTGGCGCAGCAGCTGGGGCCGCGACGATCAGCGGAGCGAGGGCAGGCGCTGGTGAAGAGAGAGAGGCTGGAGGAATGTCGGAGCTGTGCTCTGAATGGCCCCTGGACGCGTTGGAGCTGTGCTCCGAGCGTTCTGGCGTGGGCCGCGGCGTGGCGGTAGCTGCGGTGGCCTCGTGGGCCTGTCGCTGGCCGGCGCGCGCCAGCGCGCTCCTGTCTGCGTCGGGCTCGCTAGCCTGTTTCGGCTTGTCCCCGAGGGCCGTGTCGGGGCTACCTCCATTTCATTCCGCGCGCGCCGCATAAGCCTTTGGGGCTGGCGCCGCGGAGGCCGACGTGCCTCGGGAAGGGGTGAAGTCTGACCTCGGGCCTTCGGGGCGCACCGAACTCGGGCTGGCGCGCCCCGCCGCAGCTTGGGGCGTCAGCTAAAAGCTGACGTCCGCCCGCGCGCGGGGTCCCCGCGCCGGGCTGGCCGCGGGGGGAGTCATTGCCAACGCTCCCCTCGCCATCTTTTGCCGCGCCGCCTTTGCCCTTCAACGGAGGGCTGGCGGCGCCACCTTATCAACATGGCATTGCGCTTCGCAGCTTCATGTCTGCTCAGGGATTTAAAAGTCGCGCGCGCCCCCGCCTTCTCACTGGTCGGCCAGCCGGCGCACGCACGCAGAGATTTGCTCAACGGACGCCCTAACCATGTCGCCAAGCATATCCTCTGCGAGGCTCAACTTGTGACTACTACATGAAGATTACCTTCCAGAAGAATCACACCAAGAGCCGATCAACAGGATCAAGATAATGCCCGAATCCATGATGAAGAGGCATAGTGCTTACACACACACTCTCTCTCTCTCTCTCTCCCGTTTCTGCTTCCCGTCCCCCCCCTCTCTCTCCATCCCCTTCCCCCTGCCGCTCTCCCGCCTCCCCCTTTGCTACCCCCCTTGCCCCCCCCATCCCCCAGCTCCCCCCGTTCTCTGCCCTTTCTCCCCTGTGTCTGGTGTTCGCTGCCATATGCCCCTCTTCGCCTAGGATCTGGCTGTCCTCACTGGCGCAGACCTCATCACCGAGGATTCGGCCGTCAAGCTGGCAAGCTTGTTTCTGAGAGGAGGAATATGGGGAGGAGGAGGAGGAGGAGGAGGAGCAGGAGCAGGAGCAGGAGGAGGATGAGGGGGAATGCGGGACACGAGGACGAAACACAAACGAGGATGAGAAAGAGGTGAAGGAGACGAACAGACGAAAAAGACCAGGAGGAAAAGGAAGAGTACGAGGAGGAAGAGGAAGATCACGACTTGAAGCAGGAGGAGGAGAAGGCGTCAAGGAGGAGGAGGAGGAGGAGGAAAAGGAGGAGGAGGAGGAGGAAAAGGAGGAGAGGATGAGTCCAGAAGGAGGAGTCCAGGAGGAGGAGGAGGGGGAATGTGTGGAGGTGGGGACAGGAGCAGGAGAGAAAGGACGGGGAGCGGGTGACAAGGCAGGAGGGGTTGTGATGGTGACGAGAGAGGAGGGAAGGGGGGGTGGCGGCGTGGCACTCGGGCGGGAGATGAAGAGGTCTTTGAACATCGCTGGTGGGCCCGAAGGCGAGATCACAGGACCAGCCGCATGCCGGCACGAACGTCGAGCTCAGCCCGGGGAGGGGCAGGAGGGGCGCGAGGAAAGTGGTGGTGCGGAGAGAGGGAGGCAAGACGATCGGGATGTTTAGGATGATGGTGGTGATGGCGATGGCGGTCGTGATAGGGGTGGTGCTGGGGTATGATGGTCTGGTGAACAGGAGGAGGGCAAGCAGGAGGAAAAGGAATTGGCAAGAGAAAGGGCGGGCGTGAGGAGGAGGAGGAGGAGGAGGAGGAAAATGAAGAGAGGGGGAGCATGGAACCACTCTGTGTTCCAGAGCGCGCGCGCGCGCGAGGCTTCCACACAGAGTTCGCGCGTGCGTGTTTGAATGCGTTTGTGGCGGTGCGCGCGCATGCTCTGCGTGCTCGACAGCGGGTTATCCTATGTTGTCCTCTTCCTCCTCCTCCTTCTCTTTCTTTGTTTGGGCCGGTCGCCCCTCCCCCCCGCCGCCCCCCCTGGACAGAAATGACGAGACAGACTGATGTGTTTCCGCTTGTCTTTGGAAGGGGGCGAGAATAATTTAAGCATTGTTATTCCGCCTCTCCATACTCTTCCCCCATCGAAATCGAGGTGGGCTGATTTTGTTTGGTGTGTGTGGTGGGGGGAGAAGCGGCAACTTGCTACTCCGCCTACTCCTGTCAGTCCGCTTTCGCCCTCCAGAGCACCCGAGAGCTTCGAAAAATAAAGCTTCGAGAAAGCTTCTAGACTTTCGACAGCATTGCTTAGCCCTGCCAGGTCCACGAATATTCCATCCTGCCATGTCCTCCCCGAGCTCCCTAAAGCCTCCGACATCATTCGCGACACTTCTAGACCCCTCCTCCTAAAGCCTTCTGCTCGAGCACCCTGGAGCCCTGCGACGCACTCTAGAACCTGCTGGAGGCTCCCCCCCAACGCTTCCAGGAATCTGTTACAGCACCTCAGGGCGTCGCAGGGCCTAGCCGCGATTTGGCGTTGATTGGCATTGTTTTGCGTTGCGCTGCTTTTCGTTGCTCGTGGCTGCGTGGCATTGCTTGATGTTGCTCTGCATTCCATGGCATTGGTTTTTGTTGCTTCGCGTTCCAATGCATTATTTGGCAGTGCAGTGCATTGCTTGGCACTGCAGGCAATTATGTGCGCTGCTTGACGTTCTGATGCGTTACTTGGCGTTGCTTGGCGTTGTTTGGCGTTCTTGTTCTTTGCCTTGGTGTGGTTGGCAGTGCTTGGCATTGCGTTGCACTGCCTGGCATTGCTTGTCCGTTGTTTGCAGTATTTGGCATCGCTTGACATTTCTTGGCCTTGCTTGACGTTGCGTGGCGCTGCGTAACCGATCTTTGCGTTGCTTTGCATTGCTCAGAAGTGCTGGGCGTTGCTTGGCATCGCTTGGCGTTCCGTAGTGTTGCTTGGCGTTGTTCGGCAGTTCGTTGCGTTGCTTGGCATCGTTTGGCATTGATCTGCATTGCTTGGCAATGCTTGGCAATGCTTGGCATTGCTTGGCAGTGTGTGGCGTTGTTTGGCATCGCCTTACTGGTTTCCTCGTAGCTCGGCATTGCGTGGTATTGTTTGGCATTGCGTGACATTGGTTGGCATTGCGTGGCGTTGCGTAGCGTTGCTTGGCGTTGCTCGGCATTGCGTTACTTTTTGTTCGCTTTGCGTTGCATTGGTGGGCGATGACTGGCAGTGCTTAACAAGACGGGAGCACGAGAAAGGAAGGCACGGAACAAGACGGGGGAACCGAGAAAGGACCAGGGAACCCAAGAAACAAACCAGAGGGACCCGAGCAAAGCAGGCACCAAGACCAGGGAACCCAGCAAAGCCGAAACCCGCCTTCGAATTCGGCAATCGCCCCCCCCCTTCCCCCTTGTCTTCACAACAGTGCTGGCCAACCCCAAACAGTGAATTCTTGAATATATGCGGTGCAGCCTACGTAGTTTCCTCTACGTGGTCATATCTATGCAGAGCAGAGCAACTCAAAGAGCAGGGCAAGGCCAAGCAATGCAACGCAAAGCAAAATCGCTCAAAGTAATGTAAAGCAATGTGCACCAATGCAAAACAATGGAAAGCAATGCAACTCAATGCAACACACTGCAACGCAATGCATAGCAATGCAAATCAGTGTAAAGGAATGCAGCGCAGCGCAAAGCAATGCAAAGTTACGCAACGCAATGCACAGCAATGCAAAGCAACGCTAAGCACCGCAAAGCAACGCACAGCCATGCAAAGGAATGCAAACCCATGCAAGCCAATGTAGCGTGCTACAAAGCCAAGGCCAATGCAAAGCAAAGCGATTGCAATGCGATTGCAATGCGATGGCGATTCGATTGCAATGCAATTGCAATGTGATTGCAATGTGATTGCAATGCGATTGCACCGCAGTGCGATTGCAATGCGATTGGCGATTGCAAGGCAATGCGATTGCAATGCAACGCGGGGAGGTGGAACGGGGCGGCGGTGACGGGCGGCAGCGGGGGCGCGAAGCCATGCAAGGCAACAGCAGCTTCGAAGTAGCTGGCCGAGAGATAGCATAGGCGTCAGAAGGGGATGACATAAAGGAGGAGAGAAGGAGAGGGATAACGACTGAGAGAAGAGAGTGGAGTTCCACATCTCTCTGGAGCGCAGAGTGTCTCCACAATGCCCCCAGCCTCGAGGAAGGAGGGGTGAGCAGGAGGAGGGAGACGGCGGCGAGGACGAGGATGGGTGCTCAGCAGTGCCAGCAGTAGCGTGTACTTTCAGCAGGACCGGTCGAGAGAGAGAGAGAGAGAGAGAGCAAGGGCAGGGGCAGGGGCAGTGGCAGGAGGTGGACGGCGAACCCTCGCCCCGACCCTCGACGCAGGAGACGGGCGGCAAGCTGGAGGACTTGAAGGTCGAGCAGCTTGGCTCGGTCGGCGCCCGCTCTGCGGCCGAGCGCGCTTCGCGCCGCGTCATCCTCCTCCTCTTCCCCCCCCTGCTCCCTCCTTCCTCCCCTCCTTCCCTCCCCTCTCCCTCCCTCCCTCCCCTTTCCCTCCCTACCTCCCCTCTACCTCCTTCCTCCCCTCCTTCCTCCCCCCCTTCCCTCCTCATCCCCCCCCCTCTCCCTCCTTCCTCCCCTCCTTCCTTCCCTCCTCCTTCACCGGTCGTCCCGTCCTCCTGCTGCTGCCCATCCTCCCTCCCCTCCCTCTGCTCCGCAGACCCGCGCTCCCCTCCCGAAGCCTGCCCCACCCGCGCATCGCTGTGGCCTGCGTCACTCGCGCCTCCCGCGGCCCCACGGCCCCGTGTTCGGCCACGCAGCGAGCGGCCTCCCTCGAGGCTCCACCGCCCCGTGGACCCCGCGGCCCCTCTCCGGACGCCGCGCCCCGCGGGCTCGCCCCGCACGCGCCGCGGCGTCGCAGAGGGAGGCCCCGCCGCCGCCGCAGGCCCCCGCCGCCCCGCGCCGCCCTTGGCCGCCGACGTGGGCCCCTTCACGGGGGGGAGCGCCGACGGGGTGGAGAGGCCCAAGGACTGGAGAATCCTCCTCCTCCTCGTCCCCCCCCCTCCTCCTCGTCCCCCTCCTCCCCCTCCTCCTCGTCCTCCTCGTCCTCCTCCTCGTCCTCGTCCTCCTCCGCCTGGCGCCTGGCTCGGCGCGGCCTCCCTCGAGAGCGGAGCGCTCGGCGATGGCAGCGCCGGGGGCTCGGCGCGCGGCCCGCGCGCGCCCGTGCGCGCCGCGAGCGCGCGGGCTCGGGCTCGGGCTCGGGCCCGAGCTTCAGCAAGGGCTCCCTCGAGGGCGCGAAGTTATTCGCGCTTCGCGCTTCGCGGTCCTCCTTCCTCCTCCCCCTCCTCCTCGTCCTCCTCTTCTCCCTTTGGGAGGGCGGCGCGAGAGCGCGAAGTTATTCGCGCTTCGCGCTTCGCGCAGCGCGAAGCGCGAAGTTGGGAGCCCTAGCAGCTGTTCACCCTGACCCCAGATCCGCCCTACTTTGGTTTTTTTCCCAGCTCAACATTGCGTCGGGAATCCACCGATAAAAGGAGCCGAAGAAGTAGGGCGGAAGTTCCTGCGCCCAGCATAAAGTAGGGCGGAAATCCACAAGAGCAGGGCGGAAGCAGCCACAGAAAAAAGTAGGGCGGACACTGGCATCAGCGGGGCTTGAAAAGTAGGGCGGAACTTCCAAGCCCTACCGACGAACTTCCCCAAAGTAGGGCGGCTCCGGAGTCAGGGCAGGCTCCGAGCGAACGCCTGGGCGGGGGCGGGCGTGGTTCGGGCCTGGGCCGAGGGCAGAGGGGGCCGTCGGCCACGCGCAGAGTGGCATCGCACGCCAGGCCAGCCCCTGAGCCGGCCGGGCTGTCTGCTCCGCTGCTGCGGCTGGTTCACGGAGCCGCGGCCACGGTGGCTGGGCAGGGCACCGCGAGGGCCTCGCTGACAGGGCGCGTGATCCACGACGTGCCTTGCCAAGACGCAGGGCGTGGAAGACGCAGCAGCATTCTGTGCCCGCAGGATTCGAGGTGCTCGCCCAGAGGGCTCTTTGAGTCTCATGGCCCGTCGCCCGCGCGCCGCCAGAGCGGCCGAATCGAAGCTTCGAGATCGCCAGCGCGCTCGGAGGGTCGTCGATCGAGGCAACGGCCTCGACGCCTCACACGCTTGCTGACGGTGCCGAGGGCGTCGGGTACAAAAGCGGACCTCGGCAGCGGGCCTGCGGCCGCCGCTGCCGAGGCTCGCGTGCCGTCGCGGGTGGATGTGCGGAAGGCGCCTTCCTCGGCTCAGCTCCGCTGCGCTCTCCGAGGGCGGCTCGGCGGACCAGCACTGCGGCGGACCCCCCTCTGCTCGCTGCCCGCCTCCGCCTCGCAGCCGTGCCCGAGGGGCGTGCGCGGAGTGCTCCTCCGCCGCCCCTCTCCGTCCTCGTCGCCGCGGTGGCCTAGGCGTCGGGTGCAGAAAGCGCTGCTTGCTCGCTGGAGCCGGGCACCGCATGCCGAGGCGGGGGGCGTCCCCGCGCGGCGCCACGACCGCTCAGCGCGCGCGCGCGTCGCAGAGACGCTGCTGCCCTCGGCCGATACCAGCGCGGTGTCGCCCGGACGTGTGCACCTCCCTCGGCGAGGACAGCGCCTGACCGCCTGGACCCTCCTGGAGCACCCTGGACCACCTCGAGGGAGGAGCAGCACCAGACACGCACAAGAGCAAGTCGCGCACGGGGAATAAGGAACGCCCGAGGACGGCAAGTTGAAGACACAGGGGGCCGGCGCCGGCCCCTCCCGCTGGGCCTCGCGCCTCTCGGCGGGCCCCGCCGGCGTCAGAGCTCTGCGGCGCCGTGGGCACCGGCGGAGGCCTCTCGGGTCGAGGCGTCGGCGGGGGTCCGGCCCCGCCGAGGTCGGAGCCCGGGGCCCAAAGGCAGCAGAACGGCATATGTGGCGCAATTGCGGCGGGGGCGTTGGATAAGTCATGTGCCCATGAGGCTCCAGGCCCTGGACGATTCCTTCTCTGGTGCGGGCGGCCGTGCTGCACAGGGCCGAGCCTCCATCGGTGTTCCGCCGGCTTTTTTTTTGTAAAAAAAAAGAAAAAGAAAGAAACAAAAAACAAAAAAAATCGGTGTTCCGCCAGCTTCCAGGCCCTGGGTTCCTGGTCCAGTGGCTTCTTATCCAGCGCCGCCACCGTAATCATAAGCCGTGCACTTGTGGAGGTCCGCGAGGATTTCTTGGTTCGGCGCTGGACCTCCCTGGCAGCACCTCTGGCTTCGCCACTTGCGCGCTCCGCGCGCCAGGAGAGGGGGGTCTTGCCGCCATGAACGAAATGGGTCCTGAGGGAAACGTGTCTTGGACTCTGGGGCCTTCCCCAGGACCAGCGCTTCACCCCGAGTTGCCTTTTGACGGTCCCAAGGGGCCCGCGGAGGGCCCTGGAGGGTTCGCTTTCTTCCAGTGCCCGCTTCCTTCGTGCCAAGCTTCGCGGGGGGTGAGGCCGCATCGCTGCTTCTCATTGGCCGAGGGGGCGCCCTCCAAGCGGGCCGACGCGTTATTGCGGGTATACCAGCTCTGGCGGCGCCGTGCCCGGTCAAGGGACCTTGCCGTCAGGGCCTGGAGGCAGGAGGGAGGAAGGAAAACAGGGAGGGAGAGAGGGAGGGGACGGGGAAGGGGCGAAGCCCCTTCCCCCTCCCCGAGAGCAAGCGCTACAAGCCTTGGGGGCGACAGGCGGACAGCCCATTGACTGGGCCAGCAGTCCTCAGGAATGCCACGCTAAGCTCCAGGGCGCGTGGAGCAAAACAGCCTCCGGGAAGAACCGAGAACGAATGCTGCGGGAGCTCCCTGAAAACGACCGGCTGGCGTTCCGGGAGTGCGGCAGCGTTGGCGCAGGGGCGTTTTTCCAACCTCGACAACCAGGAGAGCCTTTGCAGCCAGACGACCACTTCGAGGTAAACCTCATGTGCCGGCAGCGAGTGCCAGTCTGCCCCGCCGGCTCGCGCTGCCAACACCGACGACAAGACGGCACGCTGTGTGGAGAGCCCCTCGACCCACACGGGTTCCATGCCAAGTCATGCGAGGTGGGCCAATCCCGCGCCGCCCGGCACAACCGCCTCCGTGACCGACGCGCATCCATGCATAAGGATATCACGGGTCATGCTGTTCCGACGGAACAACACGCTCCAGCGTGGGATCGCCGCCATCCCCGCACCGGGGTCCTCCAGGAAGCAAGGTTGGACATCCGGACACACGACCCCAGCACCGGTCGACCCATCTATGTCGACTGGGCGGCGACCTGCGTACGCTCCACCTACGCCCCACGAGGGCACGCCCGAGCCGAACGAGATGGACTCGCAGCAGCCCAGATGGTCGACGACAAACGCGGCCGGTACCCCCCCCCCGGAGGGCCTAGACCTCGTCCCGATGGTCTTCGAGACCGGGGGGCGGCCGTCCGACGAGGCCGTAAGCTTCGTTCGGGGCTACGACGCCTCTTTTGAGGATGCCGACCGGTCCGAGCTCTTGAGCCGGATCTGGCGGGACATCTCACGCACCCTACAGCAAGGGAGCGCGGAGATGATCCTGAGCACCCTGGGTTGGGCGCCCGAGTTACCCCTGATGATTCGGGGCTCTGACTGGGGAAATAAGCGCCGACCACCACCACCACCACCACCACCACCACCACCACCACGTGACCAACCACCAGCGCGACCACTACCAGCCCGGCCGACGTTCAGGACCACCGCCGCCAGCACGGCCACAACAGCCGCCAGCTGACTGACTACCAGTATCACCACCACCAGCACGACCACCGTAGCAGCACCACGGACCACAACGATCAGCCACCACGACCACCACCATCACGACCACCACGACCACCACCAGCACGACCGCCACGACCACCTCGATCGCCACCAACACGGCCACCACGGCCACGCCGACGACCACCGCCGCCCCCCGTCCCCCTCTCCCTTCCCCATCCCTCCCCTTCCCCTGCCGGGCCGCCCCTGCCGCTGGCCGTCCCCTCCTCCTGCCCACCCCCCCTTTGCCGCTTCGTCCCTCGCTCTCGTTGGGGTGTGGTTCCGGCAGCTCGGACTTTGAATTCTGGGAGGTGGCTTGCAATTCGACGAATGCCGAGCTGGGGAAAGGCCAGCATTTGAGCATTTGAGTTGCGGGCGGCCTAGCAGACTAGACTCTTTCCCGCTTGCTCAGCGGTCCCCACGGCGACGGGGTGCGGGGCCAACTCTGGCGCCGCCGGGCCGACATGGTGGGGAGGGGGAAGGGGGGGAGGAGGAGGAGGACGAGGACGAGGACCAGGACGAGGACAAGGATGAGGAGGATGATGATGATGAGGAGAAGGATGAGGAGGAGGAGAAGGAGAAGGAGAAGGAAGAGGAAAAGGAGAAGGAGAAGGAAAAGGAAGAGGAAAAGGAGGAGGACGAGGAGGAGAAGGGAAGAGGATGAGGAGAAGGAAAAGGAGAAGAGGAGGAGG